GTACTGGTACTTGAAGGATGATGTGGTAAATATTACACTAGCCCTATTCACTACCTTTTACAATTCCTGCTCCCTGTTTTAGTCCAGATGGACAGGGATGTCAATGTCAGTTACAGCAACAACAAAATATCGCCAGTTAGTGATTTTCAAATCCTTCGAAGAGGGAGAGAGCAGTAGTCGGTGGAAGAGGGGAGAGGGTAATGACTTAAATTTAAGAGAAATTAAAGAGCTTTACACTTGATTTTCAAGTTCTCATTGCCTAATTTGTTTATATTTTACTAACGCTACCTCCGCTTTTCTATTTTTTACGACTTACTTTGTTATTCACAAGTACAGTTGTAGCTTTAATTCCGTCCCCTATAAAAATACAAACAGCTTTAGCATGTGATAACCAAAAAACCATTTTTGTAACTGTGCTAATAACACCATTTAAACGACCACTAATATAAAGACACAATTATAAGATGCGTGTTCTAAAGTTTGAAAACCAGACTATCGCTATATCCGTGCAGAGAATGATTGCGACATTTAACTGTATTAGACACGTGCGATTTCCATTGTCTTTCTTTTCCAAAAACCTTTGATGAGGGAGATAGTAGTAGGTGGATTTAGTCGTGGTGGTGGGCGGGTAATCAAAGACTATCTCTATATCTGAGCAGACAATGATTGTATTAGACACGTGCGTTTTCTATTTTCTCTCATTTCCATTTAGCCAAACTATGCCACAGCAACGCGTGGCCGGGTACAGCTAGTATATATATATATATATATATATATATATATATATATATATATATATATATATATACATATATGTCAAAGGTTTTCAAATATTTGTGTGTATACACACACACACACACACACACACACATATATATATATATATATATATATATATATATATATATATAAACATACACACACATTCGAAAACCTTCAAAAAAACCAAAGACATAAATATTCGAAAACCTTGGACAAAAGCAAACACACATACACACATACACATACACACACATTTCTTCGAAAACCTTGGACAAAAGCAAACACACAAACATAGACATACAAACACACACACACACACACACATATATATATATATATATATATATATATATATATATATATATATATATATATATATATACATATATATCTTTTTCGTAAATTTTGGACAAAAGCGAACG